GTACAGAAAACAAAGACTAATTGTCTTATTTACAATCTTAACAATCAATGAATAGAAATTGAGAAATAAATTTAGATAAACAATTGTTGAAACAATTAACTAATTGGTGAGTTGTTTTTTTTTTCTTGCTTCTCACTAAAACAATTTACCTTTCGATGGGACAATTAATTTCAAGTTTACCTAATAACAAACGCACGTTAAATAATCATCATCAAGCTAAATCAACAATACTTTGAATAGTTAATTGTTGATACGCTTAACCGATAAAAAAACATTTCAAACTTAATTGAAAATCAACACATTCCAAACAATTAATATAACGGTAAATCTTAATGTTCAAGTAAATGATGAATTAATCATGATAATAGTAATAATAATCTAGATACAAAAAAATAGTAAGATAAACAATCAACATGAGATGAAAAAAAAACAAGACAATCAGTTAATTGTTAAGTTGGTTGATATGATGAAAGGAAAAAGTTGTTCAATGATTAAGGATGATGACATTTTGCTTCAGTTGATTTGTCTTCTCTTACTTTTCATCATACCCCCTGAAGGGTATTCATCATCATCTTCATCTTCATCTTAATCATCTTAATCATTTTTGTCTTCCTCCTTCAAATCATAATTGTTGATATTGATTGTGAATCATTTTAATTGGTTAAGTTGAATAAACTTTTTGGTAACCAAAAAAAAAATTATCATTTCCCCAACAATCAACTAATATTAACATACAATTAAATGAAACATTTTTTTAATCAGTCAACGTGCTGATAATCAAAGTTAAACCAGTTCTGATTAAAAGTAACAATCAAGTAATTTTAATAACCAGAAACAAATGATTAACTTTCATTCACATTTCAATTGGTGTAAGTTGATCAGTAGTTGATAATTAAAACTAATTGTGGTAAAAATTACTTTTTCATTGCGACAATTTATTAATTGCTGATCATTTGGAAAATGATAATAATTATTTAGTTAATCGGATAATATTTTTAGATGATTATTATCATACTAATTAACTGACCATGGATTTAATTGTTAAATCAACTAATCAACAATCAGACAAAAATCTTGACCTCAAATGTTAATTGTAAACTGTTGATTTACTTTGAATCATTAATTAATTATTGAAATACTGTTTTTGATTCACTTTTTTCCCCTTGATTTTTAGGTTAATCAAATACACAATTAATTAATGTTTTTGTTTACATATAATCACAATTAACTTCATTGATTAATTCAATTGCAATCATTAATACCAATTAGTTGATCTAATTGATTGTTACAATTGAAAACAAAACAAAAAAGGTAACTATTAATAAATTGTTTCCTAATGAATAATAGATGAATTAATTTCTAGTAAAAGTTAATCAATTAACATAATTATCATCACAATTTAGTACAAACTAAATTAAAATAATATAAACGGATCTGAATTAAACAAAATTACAATTAAAGAGGAATGGAAAATGTTTATCACAATCAACTGGGTTAAAACAGTGACAATTGTAGTTAATTGTTACCACAATTATACAACAATTTAAAAAAAAACATCTACATGAAGACAACAATCAAAAATTAAACTTGTTTAAATTGATAAATGACAATGAAACTAAATTATAATGATAACAGTTAACGATAACTAGTTAATTTGATTATTAAACAATCAAAATGAAAAAAAGTAATTGTAAACTTTCACTGATTGTAATTAAATATAATTACTCTCAATTTCATTTGATTGTGATCTCTTTCATCACCTAACTAATTAAGTATTAATTGTTGAGTTAATTTTCTCAATTCTAACCCACCAGGTAATGGAAACAAATTGTTAACTAACTTTTTTTTTGTAATTTCTCTGCAACAATCAACTGATCAGAACAATTTTTTTTAATTTGATTGTATTATTATTACAATAGTGATACGTTGTTGACATTAATATAATTACATTGATCAGCATCGGTTAATTGTTTAACTTTCCAATCTCTTAAAAGCTCAATAAGATTCAAGCAATTTACTGATTGTAGCAAGTTCAACTTGATAAGTTTAATGATTTTGATCGTTAAGAAGGTAAATTGTTAACCTAATCAGAAAAAAATCACTTTTGATTGAAAGGTAATCAATTTTAACAATAATCATAAGAAATGATGATGAAAGAGATTGTGTTTTATATCATCATCGCTTATCCTTTTAACTTTTCAGTACAATTAAGTAAATTGTTGTATTATTTTTCCTCATTGACCAGGTAATACAGGTAAAAGTAAAAGTCAAGGTTAATTGTTGATATAATTTCTCTTCATTTTCTTTACAGTTAATCCCTCATCTTGATAATATATTCTGCAATTAGAGCATAGATGAGACTAATTATCAATGATGACCAGAGATATAAACTAATCGGAAGATGAAAATGTAACGGTAAATTGTACCCAATGATAAGGAACAGTAAGTGAATCAGTTAATTGTTGAGAGACAAAATAAAACCTGAAATCAAGAGATATTAAAGGAGAGAGTTAATTGTTGTAAGATAATCATGCAAAGATCTAAGGTAAAAATGGAGCAAAAAAAAGAAAAACATTGTCAATCAATTGATTGTTGGAAACTTTTCGACAAGTTGATCAATCATAAATACATTAGAATATAAGATTAACAATTCAACTTGATTACAATTAGATTTTTTCTCATATGAAATAGATACAACTCTCCTTCTCTCTCTCTCTCTCTCTCTCTCTCTCTCTCTCTCTCTCTCTCTAACCCTGACCGTTTTCAAGCTTACACTTGACAAGCTTTGATAAGCTGAAAATTAAGTTGATGATAATCATCTGATTGATTGTGAACAGCAATTTAAAGAGATGTAAATAAAATCAACAATCATCTAGAGAGAGAGAGAGAGAGAGAGAGAGAGAGAGAAACAAAATTACATTTCAAATTGATTATTATTATTTGTTCCCAATGTTATTTATCATGGTGAGAGATCCAGGGGAGAGAGAGAGAGGGAGAGGAATCAGCAAAAAAAGTGAGTAAATAATTATCAATGATCATTGATTAATAATATATGATAAACTATTCAATTAAGATTATTAAATGATTGGTATTACCTTGGACCAGATTTTTCCATACATATACAATATAAACATATCTCCATCTTTGATTGAATTATAATTTCAATAATTGTTGATGTTGATCCAGTAATTTGCGTTTTCTTTTTCAATATTTTTCCACCTCCTCTCACTCTCCACCCTCTCCCTGTCTCTCTCTCTCACACACACACACACTCTCCTCCTTGAAAATGGTTCCTTCGGCAAACTTCAATTGATTTGCAAAGCATAACAAAAAACAACAACAATAATAATAATAAGAAAAGGTAAGAAACAGAATCAAAGTGATAATGATAATAGTTTGATAATCATAATGAGAAAATGATAATATGCATAAAGTAATAATAAGAATAGAGATTTTTTTTTCTTAAATATTTTGTATTTTTTGTTTTCTTATAGTAGAAAATGAAGAAAAGTAAAAATCAACGAAAAAGAGACAAACGCTATTCCATCGAAAGATGAGAATTGGGTCGAAAGGTCATTTAATTGTTGCAAAACAACGACTCAATTATTCACTATCATCTATCTTATTAAACATGTACATGTATATATACTCATTTTCTAAGCGTACTTACACTCGCTCACTTTTGGTGTATATTCATCATGTAAGAGGAATTAGTGAGCGAGAGATTCAAGAAAAAAGTATTCACACTTATATGTGTATGTGTGTGTGTATTCATCAGGTAGGAAAAGAACATGTAAAACTAAATATATTTGAAATTCACTTGAAAACAGAACCTTGAGCATGATCCTCAGGGTGAATCGTCTAAAGATCATTTCGTCGACACGATGACTTCTGAATGAATATCTGATTGTGACTCAATTTGTATATTTCAGCTTTTTTTTCACATTAAAATCAACCGAGCTTGTAAACAGGTTATCACTGTAAAGTGGAAGGAATTAAAATTAATAGTGAATTAAAATAATAATAAACAAATTTCAATCTTAAATTACATGAAATTATCAAGACAATGATCAGAAAAGAGAGAAAAAGATAAAAGTTTTACCTGTTGAGAAGGAAAAGTTTTTCCTTTCTGACAAGTTGTCAAGTGAGAGTAAATTGTAGCAACGAGCCAACAATTAGAGTTAATCAATGTTACCCTTTCACTTTCTTCTACCCTTTAGAATGGAAATTAAATTTTAAAATGGTCACTTTTGTTTACACTGATTGTCCGAAGTGAAAATAAGATGGCACTAGTTGCTCATATTTCCTAAGGTAAATTTTCTCTTCTTTTCCTATTTGGTCTTCTTGTTTTCCATTTATGGATTTGGGTTCCTTGTCCATTGTGACGCTACTTTGAGGATAAAAGATAAAAGATAGGAAATCAAAATGGTTGACACAATAATAGAATGAATGGTTAATTGTGATAATCAGTGTATCTTGTTTACAAAATAAATTGTTCAAGTGTTTGGACAATCAAGCGAATTAAATCACAAGGTTAATGAGTATTGATGCATAATTAACGTTTTACCTTTTAATGGATTTTCCTCTTTTCTTCAATGTTACACCGACCATTAAAATAGCCAACATATTATCTTGTTTGAACATTTGTTATCATTAGGTTACCTTTCGCATTGTTTTACGACAAAAGAACAATTTATCAAATTCCAACAGGTAAATTTTAACACAATTAACAGCTCCTTAAATTAGACGTTAAAACCACCACTACTCTTGGAAAGATAACAAGTCCATGTTATTGTTTCTTTTTCGGTTATAAAATTTCCTATAACAAAGAAAGAAAATCTCATCTTATCTCAGGAATTGACCTTCCATTCAATCCATTTGATGACAGAAATTGATTAGAAAATTAGAATTCAAATCTAATCCAATTTAAGGACAAACCACCAAATTGACTATCAAAATATTGACCAAAAACAATCAACCAAAACTCAATAATCCAAGAAGTAAGATGATCAAAAAACGACAAAACCATGAGAAAGTTAAAAGAATTCACTTTTAAACCAACTCAGTACCTTTTAATTAATCACAGTCTTCATTTTAATTAATCAAAACAAAGAGACAATTAATTAAACTAATTGTCAACAAAAAGAAAAAAAGAAAATTATTAATCCGATCCAGAGAGTCAATCCCGATATCGATATTTTTAATTAGATAATAAATGTTGGCGGTCAATGGAAGAGATTTAATTGTTTACACTTTTCTTTATTAATCATTAGCTAATTTTTTCCCCAATTAAATTGTTTAAAACTTGAATTCTAATATTTAAAGTGATCAATCCATCAATCGAAATGCAAAAAGCTCTTGGACCAATCTTTGTGAGAATATGAGATTTTGTTTTGTTTTTCTTTTCTCTTATAGCTTCCGAAAGGTAATTAATTCAACAATTTGATTCTCTCTCACATTGATTGGCACGTTTTTCTATTATATAATTGTTTTATTCTCCTTGTTTTTGTTCTTATTTCTCTTCTAGTTGTGTGTTCTCCTTGGAATTCAATAATTTCCCTAAAATGTGTATTTATGAAGACAAATTAAGACACTTTGGATTTGGTGTGTAACCATATTACCTAACACTTATTTGATTACATAGACAGAGAGATACATGTATAGAGTTTGAGAGAATCAACAAGCAATCAAGTTAAACATTTGATAAACAAACGAATCAAGAGGGAAACAAATGATGAAGAAGAGGATAAAATCAAGAGAATCCAATCAAAACAAATATCTCTGGATAGTGATAAGAGTGATGTATATTTGATATACAGAAATGTCTTAAGTTACAATTGGTAAACAACTTACAATTTAAAGTAAATTCAATGGATTCAAATATTTGATTGAAATTGATACAATATCAACAGTTGTTGAAATAACAACAACAACAACAACAACAACAAAAGCTTTGTTACCAATGGAAAGGAAATTAAGTTTCAATATTCAAACAAATTTACTCTTTAACATTTCAATTCAATTGTGGATCAGCTGTTGATGGTATAACGATTTTGATACATTTCTCCTGTTGAAGAAAAATAATCCTGACGAAAAAAAAAGGATTCAGATTGAAAATTATATCCAATTGATCAAGGAAAATCAAGTCAACAAGTGAACAGATTTTGATACAAGTTAATTGTGTTAAACTGTAACGGATTTCTCACCAAAATTACCCACACACATACACACTTACATTGAGACATGAAGAAATGGAGGAGAAAACAAAAAAACTCTTACCTATTAAGTGCAATTCACCATGATACCAGTTTAATGATATCAGAAAACGATTTCAATTGAATCGTAATGATATTTGTTTCACTTAAGTGTTTATCTTCACCCCACCACAAACTGTTCACTTGCTGTTTTATTGGGGCTTTTGGTTTTGTTTTTACTCATTTTCTACCACAATACCTTGTTATTGTTCAATTACAATCAAATAATGTCTATTGATCCTGCTATCATCGCATCATCAACATCATCAAGTTAAACAGCAAGAAAAGTACAACAGTGGTCACAAAATATGAAAATGACCTCAATAAGTGATTAGAATTGTTGTTGTTATTCTTGTTGTTAAAATCGAAAGGTTTTACAAGATGGAGAGAGAGAGAGAGAAAAGTAAACGAACAAAGTAAAACAAGAAAAGAAGGTAACCAGTACCGGGTAGAATTATAAGTTCTTCAAAAGAATTGGCACAAACCGTAAAGTTTCTTTCTTTTCTTCTGTCTCTTTTTTCATCTTTTTTCTTATACTTTTCACCTTAATTTTCTTTTTTTTTCTTGTTAACTTATCTTTATTTTCTTTCTTCAGGTTTCATCTCCCCTGCGCTCTCTCTCTCTCTTTCTATCTCTCTCTTTTGCCGTCTTCCTCCATTTCACTTTCATCCGGGTCACTGAAGTTGTCTTTATTATTTACGAACTTGATCAGCAAAAGTTTTACGAATCAATTTGGGCTCAAGCAAAGTAACAAGAAAACAAGTAAAAGGATCAACAAGGAAAAGTTTTCTACACCTTTCGCTTCTAATAACTTCATCTTTTTCTCTCTAATTTTCTTCCTAAAATATTGGTGTGTCGAATAATGAAAAAGTAACTCTCTCTCTCTCTCTCTCTCTCTCTCTGGACCAAATAGGAAAGGTGATAATATGCTCTTTCACTATGCATTTGCAGGAGAGAAAAGAAACAAAGATATGAGTGGAAGGAAAATTCTATACCAGAAATGTAAAGAAAAGAGGGAGGAGGAGGAGAGAGAGAGATGAATAAGATTAAGGTACAGAGAAATAAATGTTAAAAGAGAGGGAAGAGACAAAGAAAGTGGAGAGGAAAAGGAAGAGGGAAGAGGATAAAACGTGATCTCTGTTAGAAGTTCAACTAGCAAGGTGTAAACGTTACATTTTGACCTCAGGATTCAACGGATGTCAAATAACAACAACAACGAGGAGTTTTAAAAGCTACTTCTTTAAAGACACACACGAGATTCTCATTCATCTTTAAAAAGATTTACTATTTTCCCTCTCTCGTTCTCCCTCTCCATCTCCCTTTCCCTCCCTTTCAATCTTTCCCTCTCTTTATCTCCCGGTTTCTCACTCCATCTCTCCTCTCTCTCTCTCTCTCTCTCTCTCTCTCTCTCTCTCTCTCTCTCTCTCTCTCTCTCTCACTTTACACGACTCAATCCAGGCCAATTTTAAACCAATTGAAAAGAAAGAGAAGAGCCCGTGCTCCCGCCGTTTCCTCCATATCATCATTCACTCTCCCTCTCTTTTCATCCTCTTTCTTTCCACCACCTCTGACATTCACATTTAAGCCTCGTGGCCTACCGATAGTCAACGTCTGTAACGTGCTTCTTGTTTATTGTGACCTCATGCGGAGGGGAAAAAGAGGAGAGTCAATGGAAAACATCTCGGGAAGGAAAAAGGAGAGAGTTCAACATAATTTTGGGGGGAAAAAGATAATGGACTGAGGGAGAATGAAGAGGGAAAAGGCCAAACATGTGATCAAAAACAAGAAAGAAAGAGAGAGAGAGTAAAACAATTTCCCTCAAGATGTCAAAGTGTGACCTTTTTCTCTGCGTATGACCTGTCGCTTGTTATGATGGCATTTGAATGGTGATGTTAAGCATCTTTATGATGATAAAATGATCTCGAGATGATATCGACCTTTCAAGACTTTAAATTATTGGAAAACTAATACCAAACAATTAAATCCGCAGGAAAAACACAGTTTTGTTGATTGTTTCCATTTAGAGGTCAAGGTTTACATGGATCAAGACACAGACACAATTACTGAGGATACGAGAGATTATCACAAATAGAAAGTAATTCATCTTTATCTTCATCTTCTCATTGTTAATTTAGATTAAGGACAAACCAACGTTCACATTGAGTTAAATGGATAATCAAAGAGCAGAAAATGTTATCAACTAGACTCATTTGTTTTACTTTTTTCTCATCATCATTTTTTCATTTTGATCTAAATTCTATTTGATCAGAAAAATTATATTTCCTTCCTTCCAGAGCACGTCGACTGTTAAGTGCTATTACGTGGATGGAATCATTCATAATCATGATTAACCACCAAACACCATCGAGAGAGAAAATGATTAACTACAAGCCAATACTGAACAATATTCCAAATACAAGTATGAACAACAATCTGAAGCTTAATCACAATTAACATAATCTATTGGTTTCAATGATTATTAGGTTACATCGTATGAACAATTTAACAATTGATTACAAAGATTCATTGGATTTTACAGTTATACTATTTACCGTTATTGTTTTGTGTGTTTCTGCTTTTATAACTTCAATGACAATTAATCAATCACTTGTTATTATTTTCTCTTTACCATTAATTAAATGATTAATATTATCATTTACTTGTTAGAAATAGTGACGAGATATATTTCAAAATAGTAATTTGAAATAATCAATTATCTCCCATGAAAATAAGTTGAATTCATTGATATTATAAATCAACAATAAATGAACTAAATTGATTACGAATTAAATTGTAGTTTTTACTTTCGAAAGGTAAATTGTTAAATCAATACACATTTTGAATGTTAATAATTTTTCATTGGGTTAACAATAATTAACATTCAATGATTAGTTTTAATAACCTGAAGCTTTTTTGATTCACTTGATTAACTGATTTGTTGATTAGTTGTAATCATTGTAATCAAATGATACGTTAACCTTTTTTTTTTTGTTGTCAAATGTAAATCCCAACGATTAAAGTGTAAATTGTTATCATTTTAATTGTTACAATTAAGCAAAAACCAGGAAAACAAAATGAATCATCATCATTATTAAATCACAATTAAAAAGGACTAAATTGATTGGATGCAAAAAAATGATCAATGGAAAGGAAAAGTAATTAAAGAAAAAGGGAAAACCAATGGTTCTAATCGTTTGATACAATTAACTAATGATAATTGTTGAAAATGGACTTGGGAACAATTAAAATGATACAGAAATTAACTGATTATCACGTGATACGGAAATGAAGATGATGATGAAACTATTTCTCGATAGTAACTTGATTTGGTTGATTAACTAAATTCAGGTGAAAAGACATTGAAGCCTCAAAGGGTTTACCTTTTTACTAATTATAATTAAACATAATTTTCCTTCCTTCCTGAATGAGTGAGAGAGAGAGAGATGATAAATAGTGAAAATCACCAAGGGTCATCAATAAATAATAATCATCATCATCATCGTTGGGAATCAACGTTATAATTAATGAATTGAAATGAGAATCATCAACAATCAAAACTGAAAACTGGAATCAAATTAATCGGAAATGTTTTTTATCAATGGAAATCAATGGAAATGAATCAATCCTTTCAATTGTCAGAAATTAATCATGATTATGATTTAAAAATTTTATATATGTCACAATGAGCAACACTAATTGTTTGGTAGGTTAAACTAAATTGACAACAATTTAAATTGATTAAGCAATCACTTCGTTACTTTCATGGTTCATAAGACATTGAATTAAAACCCTTTCAAAACTAAATCACTCTCATTGTTATTGGTTAATTTAAATTGTTACTTAATCATTACTATTAACTAGTAATTAACTTTTCGTGCTATTTTATTATTGTCTAAACATTTTACCTTTTAATTAAAAATCAAATTGACAAACCAATTAGAAAGTATCGAAAGAGTTTCCTAATTGTTTGGTTTTTTAATCAACAATCAACACTAATCGTTAACCCATAGAGTGTGTGTATACTTTTGATTGTTAATTAGATTGTATTTAAAGGGCATCACCATTCCGATCAACAATCATAAATACATATTAATAATTGTGATGATAAAGAAAAAAAAAGTTAATCAGTTAAACAGCAACAATCAGTTAATTGGGATCACAATGATCAATTGTGATCTCCAAGCATAAAAACAATTGACTGTCAGCTTTTTGTTGACAATTTATCTTTGGCAAAGAAGCCTCTTCAAGAGACTGATTAACTCACTTGTTAATTACAATTAGCTTAATCTGATTGTAAGAAAAAAATGATTCTTAAATTGTTACGTTAATCAAATTAAGGTAAAGGACAAGAAGAAGAATCAAATTTAAGTGAATGGAAACACCTTCGCATTTATAATACATGAAAATAATAAACTTGTAATTTAATTTAATCATAACAATTAAATGAGTAAGATGATTAAATTAATCATCAATCTATTGGAGACAAGGTTGTTTATGTATATTAGCAAGTGAATTAGTTAATTGTTGTTGTTGTTGTTTTAAGTTTTTTCCTTTCAACTTGAACCTTTTTCACTTGACGATTTAATCGTGAGTCTAAATTGATTGAAAGACTTTTTAATTGTTGTTAAGTCTTTTGTTTAATTATTAATCTGATTTAGTTAATCATAGATAATTAGTGATCAATTTAATCACCATAATTTTTATTAAATCTAATTACTTTTTGTTTCTGCTTCAATAATAACAAACCTTGGATATTTTAAATTGCCAATTTGGGTTTGGCTTGATGATGATTTGCTTTTTCACTATTAACTAAATCGTAACAATTTAATTCACCTTCAATAATACAATCAAATAAAGGAGCATTAATTTAATTGTGAAAGTGTTAAATGAAAAATGTCAACAATTAGATTGTTAATAATACAAAATTGATCATAAAAGTTTGAGTAACAAAAGTGTAACAACTTTGATCGTAACAATTTATTTTAATTGTTACAAAGTTTAAAGACATTAAAATGATAACCAAGAAAAAAAATACGAAAATTTAATAAACAAATTTAATTAATTAAAAGTGATTTTTTTTTACAATTATAATCATAATTAAATAACACTGATTATGATGTCGTACAATTTGATTGCAATATAATAATAATAATTTTACCAAATTGACGCAAATTGTAATTGATTAATTACTTAAATCAATGGGTTAACAATTAATCTAATTGTTAACCTTGTATATTTATATATTGTTTACTAAATTATCATCTACAATTAAAAGGCAAACGTAGACATTTAAATGTACATAACAATTAACTCAGGTAAATAATGAATTTTGATTTAATAGGATAGTCAGAAAATAATTAATTAACTGATTGTTTTGGCGATCAAATCAATCGTAAGTCACTAAATAGGATAACAAAATAATTAATCACAATTAGCAGAATGATCAAAGATGATTAGGATTGTGAAAATCAAAAGAAAAACAAAGAAAAATAATGTATACATATTTACGTAAATAGAGTAACATAGTTTTTAATTGTTGCAGCTGATCGCTAATTGTTGATCACAATTAGCAGGCTGATTGTCGATGATTAATGACCAATGTCAATTTCTATTTGGTATATAAGGTGAATCTCTGGTATTCCAAAGATCAGATTCACATTGACATTCGATTAATACAATTGAATTAAGTGGGTGAAGAAAAAAAAAGTCAAATTAACTCTCGAAAATATAACAAAGTTAATTATCGAAAGAAAAAAATAAAGATGAACAATTTAGTTATTACAATCGTTTTACTCGCCTCGGTGGGTTCCCTTCATGGTTACATCGTTCCTGGACAAACCTCATCTTCCTCATCTTCACACAAATTTGAATCAAGTTCATCAAACCTCGGACCCAATGGTGAAAAGGTTGTCACCTCTGAATACCGATCATCAGTTAATGGCTCACCTGTTGTCTCATACAGTCAATCATCTTCATCTGGTTCTGGTTCTGGTTCCTCACTTTTGAGTGTCGGTGGTTCATCTGGACAACAAAAAGGGTCATCATCCCTCTTGTCAGTCTCTTCAGTCGCTCCCGTCATCTCTGGTTCCTCTGGTTCCTCTGGTTCATCTTCAAGCCAATCTTCATCTTCCTCTTCCTCATCAGGCTCATCAGGATCTCCAAGACCCTTTATCTCCCTTCCCTTGATCCCCGTTGGAGGAATTACTAACTCTGGCTCAGATTCTTCATCATCTTCTTCAACCGTTTCATCATCAAACTCTGGATCTTCATCAGCAGTCAAAGATTCATCTTCAGCTTCATCAACCGCTGTTGCCGTTTCAGAAGAAGAAGAAGAAGACGATTTATCACTTGCCCCACCCCGAGGACCTCATGGACACCCTGGACCCTGTGGACCAGCCATTGGTTGTGATGATAAAGTTGTTGTTATTGTTGTTGGAGGAGGTAATGGACCACACAACCGATGGGGTCGATTTGCTCGAAATTCATTAGGCCGAGTTGGTGCTCGATTATCTGCCGCTTCTGATGATGAAGATGAAGAAGAAGAATACCGACGACGATTCCGAGGTTCACGACGATCAAACTTCAACTCCCGACGATCAGACTCATCTCGATCTGCTTCAAGTTCAGACTCATCAAACACCCGATCATCATCTGTCTCAAATAACTCAGACTCACGACGATCAAGTTTCGACCGAAATGATAACCGACGATCATCTTCATACGAAAACAACAACCGATCAGAAAACAACCGACGATTTGCCCGATCACACAGCTCAAACGAAGAAAATGTTTCATCAAATGATTCACGAAACTACAACCGACGATCATACAACTTGGACAACCAATACGATTCAGTCAACAATGTCAACAATGTAGTTAACAGAATCAACCGAATTAACCGAATCAACCACGTTAACAATGTAAACAATGTCGAAAACCAAGTTGATATCAACAAATCATCATCATCAGTCTCAAAAAATAGCTCAGTTAACAATATTAACAACGTTTCAAAGGTCTCAGATGTCCGATCATCAGTTAACAACCAAGCCTCATCTTCAAATGTCGCTAACACCAACAACGTTCACCGATCAAACAATGTCCACAATTCCGTAAACAACCAATCATCAAACAATCACGTTTCACGATCATCTGATGTTCGATCTTCAGTTAACAACAGTAACAATGTCCAACGATCAAACAGCAACAATGTTTCATCAAACAATGTCCACAAATCCTCAGATGTCCGATCATCAGTCAACAACCAAGCTTCATCATCAAATGTCGCTAACACCAACAACGTTTCACGATCAAACAATGTCCAAAACTCAGTAAACAACGTTCACAAATCATCTGATGTCCGATCTTCAATCAATAACTCAGCTTCATCATCAAACGTAGCCAACAGCAACAACGTCCAACGATCAAGCAATGTCCAAAAATCTGTAAACAACCAAGTTTACAACAACAATGTCCAAAAATCATCAGACGTCCGATCATCAGTAAACAACCAAGCTTCATCATCCAACATCGCTAACAGCAACAATGTCCAAAACTCAGTCAACAACCAAGATTACAGCAACAACGTTTCAAAGGTCTCAGATGTCCGATCATCAGTTAACAACAAGCCTCATCTTCAAATGTCGCTAACACCAACAACGTTCACCGATCAAACAATGTCCACAATTCCGTAAACAACCAATCATCAAACAATCACGTTTCACGATCATCTGATGTTCGATCTTCAGTTAACAACAGTAACAATGTCCAACGATCAAACAGCAACAATGTTTCATCAAACAATGTCCACAAATCCTCAGATGTCCGATCATCAGTCAACAACCAAGCTTCATCATCAAATGTCGCTAACACCAACAACGTTTCACGATCAAACAATGTCCAAAACTCAGTAAACAACGTTCACAAATCATCTGATGTCCGATCTTCAATCAATAACTCAGCTTCATCATCAAACGTAGCCAACAGCAACAACGTCCAACGATCAAGCAATGTCCAAAAATCTGTAAACAACCAAGTTTACAACAACAATGTCCAAAAATCATCAGACGTCCGATCATCAGTAAACAACCAAGCTTCATCATCAACATCGCTAACAGCAACAATGTCCAAAACTCAGTCAACAACCAAGATTACAGCAACAACGTTTCAAAGGTCTCAGATGTCCGATCATCAGTTAACAACCAAGCCTCATCTTCAAATGTCGCTAACACCAACAACGTTCACCGATCAAACAACGTCCACAATTCCGTAAACAATCAATCATCAAACAATCACGTTTCACGATCATCTGATGTTCGATCTTCAGTCAACAACCAAGCCTCATCATCAAATGTCGCTAACACCAACAACGTCTCCCGATCAAGCAATGTCCAAAAATCAGTCAACAACCAAGCCTACAACAATAACGTTCAAAAATCCTCAGATGTCCGATCATCAGTTAACAATCAAGCTTCATCATCAAACGTCGCCAACTCAAGCAACGTCCAACGATCAAGCAATGTCAACAACTCCGTCAACAACCAAGCTTACAGTAACAATGTCTCAAAGGTCTCCGATGTCCGATCATCAGTCAACAATCAAGCTTCATCATCCAACATCGCTAACACCAGCAATGTCGCCCGATCAAGCAATGTCCAAAACTCAGTCAACAACCAATCTTACAGCAACAAAGTTGCCAAGGTAAATGATTTCCGATCATCAGTCAACAACCAAGCCTCATCATCAAATGTCGCTAGCACCAACAATGTCCAACGATCAAGCAACGTCAACAACTCAGTTAACAACCAAGCTTCATCCGTAAACATCAACAAATCATCTGATGTCCGATCTGCTATCAACAACTCAGCTTTCTCAAACAATGTCGCCAAGAGCAACGTTCAATCCTCAGTCAACAATGTCCAAAAATCATCTGATGTCCGATCTTCAATCAATAACCAAGCTTCATCATTGAACGTTGCCAACAGTAACAACGTCCAACGATCAAGCAACAACCAAGTTTACAACAACAACGTTTCCAAGGTCTCCGATGTCCGATCATCAGTCAACAACCAAGCTTCATCATCAAATGTCGCTAACACCAACAACGTCTCCCGATCAAGCAATGTCCAAAACTCAGTTTCAAACTCAGCTGTTAACAACAATGTCCAAAAATCATCTGACGTACGATCATCAGTCAACAACCAATCATCAAATGTTAACGTCAACAAATCAGTCAACAACCAAGCTTACAGCAACAATGTCTCAAAGGTATCCGATGTCCGATCATCAGTTAACAACCAAGCTTCATCATCAAACGTAGCCAACAGCAACAACGTCCAACGATCAAGCAATGTCCAAAACTCAGTCAACAACCAAGCCTACAATAGTAACGTTCAAAAATCCTCAGACCTCCGATCATCAATCAACAATCAAGCTTCATCATCCAACATCGCTAACACCAGCAATGTCGCCCGATCAAGCAATGTCCAAAATTCAGTCAACAACCAAGCCTACAACAATAACGTTCAAAAATCCTCAGATGTCCGATCATCAGTTAACAACCAATCATCAAACGTTAACATCGCCAACTCAAGCAATGTCAACAAATCAGTCAACAACCAAGCTTACAGCAACAATGTCCAAAAATCCTCAGACGTCCGATCATCAGTAAACAACCAAGCTTCATCATCCAACATCGCTAACACCAGCAATGTCCAAAACTCAGTCAACAACCAAGCCTACAACAGTAACGTCCAAAAATCGTCAGATATCCGATCAGTCAACAATCAAGCTTACAACAGTAACATTGCCAAATCATCTGATGTCCGAAGCTCGATCAACAACCAAGCCTCATCAAGCAATTTCGCTAACTCAGTCAACAATGCTTATTCATCAAACAATGTTGCCCGATCAAGTGACATCCGAAATGCCGCTTCATATGTTAACAATCAAGCCTCAAGTAACATCGCCAACTCAAACTCTGTTAGTCGATCAAGCAATGTCGCCAATTCAGTAAACAATGCTTTCTCATCATCTGATGTCCGAGACTCACGATCATCAATCAACAATGCTTTCAATTCAAACTCAGTCAGCAAATCAGTCTCTGATATCCGAAACAGTCAATCATCAAGCGATTACCAAAATTCAGTAAACAAATCATTCAACTCACGAAACTCATTATCTGATGTCCGAAACTCAGCCTTCTCTTCAGACTCTCGATCTTCCTATGATGCTTCCCACTCTGCTAAATCACACTCATCTTCCTCATCAAGCTTTGACGCTTCAAGCAAATATGCCGCAAGCCATTCAGCTCTTAACCAAGTCAATGGATTAGCAACTTCACTTACCTCAAGCACTGGCGATCTCGCTTCATCCGTAACTAACACCGCTTCCAACCTTGTCACTGGTATCACTGGATCATCAAACAGCAACGGTTTACTCGGTGGTATCCTCGGTGGAGTCTCAAAAGACGGACTTGTCGGTGGTGTCTTAGGAACCGCTTCAAACCTTCTCGGTGGTAATTCAGGATCATCTTCATACAGCTCATCCCGAAGCTCATCATCAGCCTCAGGAAATGGACTTGTTGGTGGAGTCTTAGGAACCGCTTCAAACCTTCTCGGTGGTAATTCAGGATCATCATACAGCTCATCCCGAAGCTCATCATCAGCCTCAGGAAATGGACTTGTTGGTGGAGTCTTAGGAACCGCTTCAAACCTTCTCGGTGGTAATTCAGGATCATCATCATACAGCTCATCCCGAAGCTCATCATCAGGTAACGGACTTCTCGGTGCTAATTCAGGATCATCATCATCTTCTTACAGCTCAGGAAATGGAGGATCCCTTAATGGCGTTGTCGGAGCCGCTTCTAACATCGTTGGAGGTGGATCACGATCTTCATTCAGCTCAAGCTCAAGCTCAGGATCAGGATCAGGATCAAGTTCAGGACTTGTTGGAAATATTTTAGGATCTAACTCAGGCACAGGTATTCTTGGAAATATCCTCGGTTAATTAAATAGTAGTAGAAACCAATCAATTCAATTGTAATGAAAAACCAATGTGATAAATTAAGTGAAAAATGTAATCCGTTAATCTTAAGCCTTTCATTTTTATCCTAAAAATGATTACCAATAAACAGACAGGACTGTAAACTCCTTTACAACAAAATCTCACTAATTGTCTCAACAATCAATCGGTAATCCAATGATTGGAAATCTAAAAATAACAATTAATCAACACCCAATAATCAATAACAAATCAGTAAAAGTTAATTCAAGTGAAACTGGTTAAAACTATCTGATCAAATTAAGTAAACTAACTGAAGAAATGAAAAGATTTACATTGAACATGCAACTTGATTAAGATAATACCCTGATTATTATCAAGATACAATGAGAAAAGTCAATCTTAATCAACTTTTACAATCACAAATTGGATAACAACAATTACCAGAAACAATCAGAATGAACCAGAAAAACAAAACAACCAAATCAAAAATGAAATATAATCAAAGTTTTTCACTGTTTCTTTTTGGATTAACATTTTTATTAGAATTAAAATTTTACCAACAATCAAAATGACAATAAAAAAGTTTATATAAAAGTCTACAACAATTAAATCAGTCAATTGTTGATTGAATTCATTTGTTTATCAGATTGTTTCCTTAATAGTGAAAGTTAATCAAACAGAAACGACAATTAGATTGAAAACTTTTTTTTTCTCAACTCAACTTTTTTTTCAGCTCATTACATGATTATAATTGAAGTGTAGACTTAATTATTGACGGTTTAACCAAAATGATTGAAAGTTGATTGTTGTTGATCAAGTAAATTGTTGATTAACCAAAAAAACAAGGAAGCCAACTAATTTAACTTTCCAATTCAATTTAATCAGTCTCAATGTTTTTCACTGTATCAACTTTTTATTTACCTTTAATCATAACAATTGAGTAAAAATTTGTTTAGTTAATTTAGTTTCAGCTATTTTTCATCATCCATAGATGATGATGATGATGATGATGATGATGATGATGATGATGATGATAACCTTGATAAATCAGTGAGAGTTGAGTTGATTCACCATTCAGATACATTATAATAGGAAAAAGTTTCATAGATAGAAACTGAATTCATCATTTAGTTAGCTAACTAATGTTACTATTAACAACAATTTAGCCTTTCAGTAAATAATGATAATGATACAAGGTTATCAAGATTAATTTTGACAGTTTAACAATTTGTTTGAGGTCACAATTAACTGGAAAGTTATTGTATTGTTAATCAACGCAGTTGATTATGGTTTACTTGATTTAGATAATAATAAGATTTAAGCCAATGTTAAGCTCGCTAATTATTGTTAAATTACAATCAATT